AGAAAAGGAGCTTTAGAAGGAGACCAATAAATTGTAGCCAGAGAGAGGGGAGGAAAATGGAGTGTCCTGAATCCAGATAATCTGTTTCATAAAGTAACATCTTGATCTCGGGGGGCATTCAAGTTTTATCCCATCAACTTAAGACCCTGAAAGTTCTGAGATTTTAGTCCTCTTCCACCTGGGGTAGGCCAGCTTCTATACCACTAGCCAAGAGGAGTGCTAGACTTCTAGGTATTCTGAAGTTCAGATCAAGAAAAGATGATCCCTTTCCCCTCCCCCAGCTTGAACTCCCTGGCCTCTCTCCTGGTCAAATGACAACGGGAAATCTTACCCTTAGAGACAACCTAGCTCCCTACTCATAGGCAAGTCTTATCTGACTTTTGCAGATTATACCCTGATGGGGATGGCTATCAGAATACAACAGATACCCATAACCTCCATGCCAGAAATGCCAGGGAAAGGTTGGCCATTATTTCTTTCTTTCTTTTTTTTTTTTTTAAGGTTTTTTGGCTGTAAGTTTATTCAATGCAAAATAATCCTCTTCAATTTTACTGAGGTGGCTGACCACGTCCACGACCAAATCCACCTCTAAACTGAAATTCGGTTGCTGACCCAGCCCCAGCCTCGGCTTTCTTGTCAGTACCAGGTAGCACAGCACTCCATCTGTAGGTATCTCTGTCAGCTTCCCCTCTTGTGAGTCTCACAGGTCGCTAACCCTCCAGACCTTTAGGCCGAGGCCTGCCAGTCTCTGGACGGCTACGGTGTAGGGTGGCAGGCACAGTCTTCAGGGGCAGATGAAGATAATCACGGAGATACTGGATACCCTCATTGGTAAGGTACCAGTAGAAATGTCTCCAGGAAACTGTTCTTTCACGTAGCCTCGGGACTTGAGAGACTGCATGGCCTTCATGACATGAAGGTTGGGCACATTCTTGTCTGCCAGCTCCTGGTGCTTAGGCATGTGGACATCCTTCTTGGCCACCATGACTCCCTCCTTAAAAAGGAGTTCGTAAATGGCAATCCGGTTCTTCTTAAGCATCAACGTCTCGGCGGCTGCAGCGTCTGGGGCTGGGGCTCCCATTATTTCTTAAGAGGTAGTTAAGGAAGAGCAGTGGAGAATGGTTTGAAGGGAGATCTGGGTTCACATCCTAGCTCTGCCCCTTACTAGATGGTTATCAGTTGTCAAGTTACTCAGCCTCAATAATTCTCAGCTCCTTAATCTATAAAATGAAATAATAATGCCTCGTGAGAAGTAAACGAGGGTGCTGGTATAGTTCGTCAGCATGCATGCCCATTTCTTATTTGGTAAAGAGATAACACCTTTACTCACAGGCATCATCTAGGTTGGCCCACGAGGCAGACTTTTCTCTCTCACATAGTACCTGTTATCCTTTCCCTTCTTGCTTCAAGTGCCCCTATTCCAAAGCTGGGAGGGAACCAGCAGTCTGCCTGAATCTTTGCCAAGGTCATGGACTCCCCTGAGGACATAAAACCAAGGAAACCCTACTCTATGAGTAGACTCTGTGAGAACCATCAAAGAGGTCTAACTTGTGTGGAAGCCAAAAGCCCTCTGCATTTACGTGATGGATTCTAGAGAGAAAATATGAATTGCTTTCCTGTTTACTTCAAGGCAAGGGGAATGACAGGAATATATTGTAATATTAGGAAATTATATCCACCTTGTACTCTGGAGATAGTAGGAGGGTACAGGCTAGCTAGTCCAGACTGTGGTTTGGGCACCAATCAGAGGTTCAATTCACAGTGCAATTTTCAATTATTGGCTGGGTGTGGTGGCCCACGCCTGTAACCCCAGCACTTTGGACGGATCACTTGAGGTCAGGAGTTCGAGACCAGCCTGGCCAACATGGTGAAACCCCTTCTCTACTGAAAATACAAAAATTAGCAGGATGTGGTGGCAGGCACCTGTAATCCCAGCTACTTGGGAGGCTGAGGCAGGAGAATCACTTAAACCTGGGATGAAGAGGTTGCAGTGAGCTGAGATCGTGCCACTCCAGCCTAGGTGACAGAGTGAGACTCAGTCTCCCCCCCCCAAAAAAAAAAAATTCAGTTATTTCTAGTGTTTTTTCTTGGTGAGTCCAAATGCATTGTGAGCATAGACTGCTTTAGGGCTATAGCAGAGCACTCACTCACAAAGTGGAACCTGTCTCACCAGCCAAGCTAGAGAATGACTTCAGTGAAGTGAAAGCCACTCAGACAAGTGTGAAGTAGAGAAGGTCTGTCCAGAGGTCAGAGCATAAGGACTAAAAGCTTAGCAGTAAATGCCAGGCTATTTACTGGCAGGCACTACCTACCAGTTTCTAACACTGGGACATGGGTCAGCCTCTCGAAGCCCTAGTTCTCCATCAGTAAAATGACAGCATTATACTAGATGATATTTTTTACTTCTAATAACCCCCAGATTCTATGATTTTATGATTTTATTTTTTATTTCATTTTGTTACTATTGTTTTTTTGAGACGGAGTTTCGCTCTTGTTGCCCAGGCTGGAGTGTAATGGTGTAATCTCGGCTCACTGCAACCTCCGCCTCCCAGATTCAAGCGATTATCCTGCCTCAGCCTCCCAGGTAGCTGGGATTACAGGCATGAGCCACCACGCCTGGCTAATTTTGTATTTTTAGTAGAGATGGGGTTTCTCCATGTTGGTTAGGCTGGTCTCAAACTCCCAATCTCAGGTGATCCACCTGCCTCGGCCTCCCAAAGTGTTGGGATTACAGGCGTGAGCCACTGCGCACAGCCTCGCTTTTTTATTTATTTTTAGACAGGGTCTCACTCTGTCACCCAGGCTGGCTAGAGTTCAGTGGTGCAATCTCAGCTTACTGCGATCTCCACTTTCTGGACTCAGGCAATCCTCCCATCCCAGCCTCCCAAGTTGCTGGGAACACAGGCACCTACCACCACACCCAACTAAAATTTTTTTGTATTTTTAGTAGAGACAGGGTTTCACTATGTTGCCCAGGCTGGTCTCAAGTTCTGGGCTCAAGCGATCCCCTGGACTCAGCTTCCTCCCAAAGTGCTGGGATTACAGGTGTGAGCCACCAAGCCTGGCCAATTTTATGGTTTTATAGTTCCAAGTTCATCTGACTTAGTTCATAGACCTGATCTATATAAATAAGATAGTCCCAAATGTATCCTTCCAAATTTCTTATTTTAAGGCTTGCTTGTCTCAGAACATCTCAGGCAAACTAGTATAGCAAGAAACTTTGAATTATAGTGATGGGCCGAGAAAAGGGGGAGGAGACACAATTTTATTTGACATTAACTTAGATTTAGTGTTTCTACCTTCTCTCATCTTCTAGAGAAGAGAAACCCAGGAGAGAGCTGGGAGCACCTGGGATTTCTTTAGTCTGTATATCAGTGTTTTGAAAAGTTATGCAGATAATACATTTTCATAAAAAATTCAAATAATGCAGACGTATACAGATGTGAAATTGAGATCTCTTCATTACCCTCTCTCCTTCTTGCTCCGTCTGATCCCCCACCCCTCTCTGGAGGTAGCCACCACCAACGTTTGGTATCTTTCCATTTCTTTTTCCCTGCACACCTCCACCTCCAGTATTTTAGCACACTCCGCCCCATGAATACCCATTTCTTGGAGACCGGTGATAAGAGCAGCACCAGAAAGAATGAAAAGCTTAGAAATCATCACTGGCCAACTTGGTGCCAGTCATCTTAAAAAAAAAAAAAAAAAAAAAACAGTGGAATAATTTAAAAAAAATCATTCTCTTGAGGTAATATTGTGTACGTGCTTTTAGGAACTAACCTACAACATGAATATTGCCAGGCAGTTGGAGAAACTCCTGGAAGAAGAAGAAAGTACCAAGCTGACTTTATTACTCTCATGGGGAGGTATTTCTTTAACAAAATTTATTTGTGGGATTTATCAAGGAAATAATAAAGTTCTCATGATTGATATTTGTCTTTAGAGAATGAATAAAGTTTAGGGGAAGTGCTTCTATTACTGCATCTGCATCTCAGCTTAACAGAGGGACACATAACTTTGGGCAGAGGGTAAATTTCTGCATTGTGTTATCAATATGGCATTGTTATAACCCGCAATGGGTTTGACAGACACCACAGTTCTCCCAGAAAATGTACTATCTATAAGGCAGGAACCTCGTCCTGTTAGTCTTCAAAACACTTTTCTCTGTTTTTCTGTTAGCATTTGCTGAGACTCTCAAAAGTCTATTCAATGGCTCTGATGCGAAACCATCTTATTTCCAATGTCATAGCAATTCCTAACACATAGTAAATCGTCAGTATAGATTTGTTTGTTACTTAATTGGGTTCCTGTGTTAGTCAAACTCATTACGGCTTAGTATTGCTCGTACAACACGCTGAGAAACTCTGAGTTAAGTAAAAGGTCCTGAAACCCACCTGGAGATGGAGATGGCTGAGGCCTTTAGAAGAGTCCACAGCAGTGAATACTGAGATTGCTGTTTGGGAGGCAGGATTGCCTGGTGGCTCAGCACTCGGCTCTATGGCTAAAAACCTAGGCACCAGTCGTGACTTTGCCAGTTGCTGTTATTTTAGTCAAGTCACTTAATTTCTCTTTAAGTTTCCATTTTTCTTGTATGTAAAGATGGTGATCATATTTTGTGTTAGAGTTTCCATGAGGATTAAATGAGATTGTGCCTAAAAGCACTTGTCATATAACAAGTACCTCAATAAATAATCTTTTCAAACTTGCCAAGAGCTTTCTCTTTCTTACGAAGTTGCTACAAGATTTTTCAGATACTCTGTGTGTGGTGGTATTCTGGAGACTGCTGATGGTTAGAGGCTGAATGTAAAGTCTGAAGTTTTAATTTTTCTCTAGATAAGTATTCCATCTATAAATACATGAATTGAACACTGCTGTGTCTCAGATTCTCTTCAGCCTCTGCTGATAATATATGCTAGTCCAAAGATTATGAGCTATGATATGATTTGACTTGTTTTCCCCTAGAAAAGGTGAAGTCCCTAATTATCTCATTTTTATTGCAGTTTTACACCTGCAGTAGAAGTCAAGGAAAAAGGAAAGAAAGGCAAAGCAGTTCACTTTGCAGAAATTGATGGTCCAGCTTCAGACAGGTAGATTAACTTTCCAATCATGCCGGAGTTGCATAGCATCTCTCAGTGGAATGGCTTCAGCCTTTACAAACTACGAAAATACCATTCCTATTATTCTAGTTTGCAATGCGAATACCCATCAGAGAAAGAACATGCGCTATTTCAGAATTGTGGTAGGAATTACAATAGTCCCGATAAATGTATTCTGTTAACCTGGCTGTTAGCACATCTTCAACTTTTTACAGTTTTTTAAAGTTTGAAAATGATAGGTACACCAGAACAGATGATTTAAATGATCTATTTTGGATGGTATTTGTATAAACATTTTATATCAGACAGTGAACATCCCTCTTGCCTTAACATAGTAAATAAAATGTTTAATAAAAAGCATTCCAAAATGATCTTACATCAAACAAAACCCATGTATGACACTCAGGCTCTTATTACTGTTTAATAAATGCTTTCTGCACCTCAGGATAGATTGAATACAACTAAAATATATTAAACCACTACTGGCAACTGTTATATTCCAAAACAGGTTGACAGATAAAAGACTTGCTGCAAGAGATGATAAGTCAGCTAAAACTTTAGAGAAACGAGGTCAGCAGGGCACCATTACACTGGATGATGTTAAATGTGAGTAACTGTTTCTTTATCCATACATAAACATTCGTCTGTACATGCATACATAAACATCCATCCGTACATAAACATCCACCCATCTATACATAACATCCATACATAAACATATCTTGTGTGACTCTCTAAGGCAGCTCTTTGTGCCTCTCTCAATTGTCCATTTTCTCTTTTCAGTTGTTACTTTGCTTTTGCTACAAGATACTGAGATGCAGCGGATCTGTTCTTTTACAACATTTATGAGGTATCTATTGCTTATGAGGCATTTTAGATCTTTTATCCTTTATTTTTCAGTAACTTCATCTGATAAGTGATGACATATCTGATTTTTAGAGGAAGAGTGTGAGACTGGCTCTATGCAAGCCATCCTAGTCACAAAGACTGCGACCAAAGAGTTGGGGAGAGGAAGCCAGAAGTCATAGGAACCCCAAATAAAATCCCAGGGCAAGTAGTATGGAGAGCATGCTGTCAGAGTCTCACATGGACTGTGCTATTTTTATATAATAGTTAAAGGATATACCCATTTGCTGGCCAGATGCAGTGGCTCACGCCTGTAATCCCAACACTTTGGGAGGCTGAGGCAGGCGATCACAAGGTCAGGAGTTCGAGACCAGACTAGCCAATGTGGTGAAACCCCGTTCCAAAAAATACAAAAATCAGCCAGGCGTGGCGGTAGGCGCCTGTAGTCCCAGCTACTTGGGAGGCTGAGGCAGGAGAATCACTTGAACCTGGGAGGTGGGGGTTGCAGTGAGCTGAGATTGCGCCAGTGCACTCCAGCCTGGGTGACAGAGCAAAACTCCGTCTCAGAAAAAAAAAAACAAAATACAAACATTAGCCAGGCATGGTGGCAGACACCTGTAATCCCAGCTAGTCGGGAGGCTGAGGCAGGAGAATCACTTGAACCTGGGAGGTGGGGGTTGCAGTGAGCTGAGATTGCGCCAGTGCACTCCAGCCTGGGTGACAGAGCAAAACTCCGTCTCAGAAAAAAAAAAACAAAATACAAACATTAGCCAGGCATGGTGGCAGACACCTGTAATCCCAGCTAGTCGGGAGGCTGAGGCAGGAGAATTGCTTGAACCTGGGAGACAGAGGTTGCAGTGAGCCAAGATTGTGCCATTGCACTCCAGCCTGGGCGACAGAGTGAGACTCCCTCTCAAAAAAAAAAAAAAAAGATCTACCCATTTACTGAAGATCACTTTTCTCTACTAGTTATGTTTGGCAGCCCCAGGATGTGCTAGGTGTGTGGCTCTGGGTGAGTTTCTTGACATTTATTTATGAGACAGAGTCTTGCTCTGTCGCCCAGGCTGGAGTGCAGTGGCGTGATCTCGGCTCACTGCAAGCTCCGCCCCACCCGGGTTCATGCCATTCTCCTGCCTCAGACTCCTGAGTAGCTGGAACTACAGGCGCCCGCCACCACGCCCGGTAAGTTTTTTGTATCTTTTAGTAGAGACGGGGTTTCACCGTGTTAGCCAGGATGGTCTCGATCTCCTGACTTTGTGATCCACCCACCTCGGCCTCCCAAAGTGCTGGGATTACAGGCGTGACCGTTTCTTGACCTTTCTAAGCCTCAGTCTTCTCAGCTACAAAATTGGGAAGTAATTGTGTAATTGTGTCCCCTTTGTGTGGCTGTGCGTGGCTGTGCCTCACGTGGCCTCTGCACCAGGAACGCTCAGTGAGAGTTGGGTGCCTGATGCCATTTGCACCCCTCCCCATTCCCTTAGCATACACATGCAGGCTGCTTGTGGCAACTGCCTGAGACTCGGCCTGAAGGCTTCATTCCACCACAGGCACACACTCAGCCTGACTGCAGGGCAAGCTCGGAGCTAGGGAATCAGTGCCCTAGAAGCAGCCCTTATTCAATGCCCTGCTGGAGGAGGAGTTGGTAGGTAAATTCTTGAGATGTTTTCTACGCTGTCTCCCAGAGTCCCCACAGGACTGAACCCCACTTACTTGTTAACACCCTCTTTGTTGGCTTCCTTTCCTGCCTCATTTCCCCACTTTCCTACTGATATTTCCTGAATCACTTCCAACTAAACTGATACCACTTCCAATAACTCCCCTGAGACGGGGAGTTATTAATATCTTGAAAAGAAAATCTGTAATGCTCACCCTCATCCTGCTCTTTAGGTATAGTTCAAGAAAGCAGTGCCGGAGAAATAATTTCCATTTGGGGCCACACAGAAGGCAGCAAAAGTCTTGAAAAAATGTTTAGAAAGAAAACAGTGACTTCTAGTTAAAAACAAGTGAGAGAGCATTGTAAATCAGTGCAGCCTTTTCAGAGAGCGAGGCACATACACTCTGTGGTAGCAATTTCACTTCTGTCTATAATATTTTTTAAAAAAACTAAATACCCACAGTAGAAGACAGTTAAATATGAGGTATAGAATATTCTATTCAGCTCTTTAAAAGAATGAAGAAAATCTACATATAATATCATAGAGAGAGATCTATGCTACACAGAAAAGTGACAAAAGCAAGTTGCAAAGAATTGTATATATAGTATTACCCCACTTATTACCAAAATACATTTTTTTTTTTTTTGAGACAGAGTCTGACTCTGTTGCCCAGGCTGGAGTGCAGTGGTACGATCTCGGCTCACTGCAAGCTCCGCCTCCCGGGTTCACGCCATTCTCCTGCCTTGGCCTCCGGAGTAGCTGGGACTACAGGCTCCCACCACCACGCCCAGCTAATTCTTTTTTGTATTTTTAGTAGAGATGAGGTTTCACTGTGTTAGCCAGGATGGTCTCAATCTCCTGACCTCGTGATCCACCCGCCTTGGCCTCCCAAAGTGCTGGGATTACAGGCATGAGCCACCGCGCCTGGCCACCAAAAAACATTTTTAAGGCATGTATTCTTATACATGTGTATATGTTGGTGGAGGAGGATGAGGAGGATGTTATATGGTATTTCCTCTTCTGAGGCTTATTGCTAATCTAGCAAAAAGATTTGTTTAATTTCTTTTTTCTTTTTTTTTTTGAGATGGAGTCTCGCTCTTTTGCCCAGGTTGGAGTGCAGTGGCACGATCTCAGCTCACTGCAACCTCCACCTCCTGGGTTCAAGCGATTCTCCTGCCTCAGCCTCCCAACTAGCTGGGATTACAGGGATGCACCACCACGCCCAGGTAATTCTTGTAATTTTTAGTAGAGATGGGGTTTCGCCAGGCTGGTCTCGAACTCCTGACCTCAAGTGATCCACCCGCCTTGGCCTCCCAAAGTGCTGGGATTACAGGCATGAGCCACTGTGCCTGGCCCATACCAAACTCTTAGTAGTGGTAACCACTAGGGAGTAGGATGGTGACAGATGTAGGAGGAGAGAACTTTTTACTTGATACATTTCTCTATATTTTTTAAACAATGGAAATATATTGTATAATAACTTTTTAAAAATGAAAATTAATTAGTAAGCACAACTATAAGAATTTAGTGTCTGACCTCTCCAAAAGTTTTACTTACAAAAACCAGATTTCTTAAATCTTTAAATATATAGTAGATAGAATTTTAAGTGGTAAGTTAGTTCTTTGATAGGCATGATAACATGGTTTTCTATTTATTCTTGTGTTGTGTGCTCAATTTTTTTTTTATGAGAAATCTTATGTTTGAAATAGGTTAGCATTGACTCTTTTTGTTGTTTCAAATATCCCCATAGGAATAAGAATCTTGATAATTTCCTCATGGCATTATTGTACTACTTAGCTCGTTACTTGGAAAAAAACTCACTGGAAAAGAAACCCAAAAGCTATATGGTGTAAGTAAGATTTTATGGTGTGCTTTAGAGTTTTTTCACTGCCAGTATTAAAAGTAACTTTTGTCTAGGATAAAGAGATGATGGAAATTTTTAAATCTTTGAGATGTACTGAGACATTTTACATAGGAAGAGTGTGTCAGTTTTTAAAGCTCACTGGATAATTTATATGTGTATTCCAGTAACAAAATATTCCAACTGATACAGACTAGCACTGCACAATAATGAGATAATGAAAGCCATGTATGTAATTTAAAATTTCTGGTAAACATATCTTAAAAATGTAAAAAGATACATGTGAAATTAATTTTAATAGTATCTTTTATTTAACCCAATGATGCAAAAAATATTATCATTGCAACAGAAGTTGATATTAGGAAGTTATTAATGAGATACGTTACTTTTTTGTAGTAAGTCTGGTATCTAGTTTATACCTATAATATATCCCTCAATTCATACTAGACACGTTCTCAGTAGCCACATGTGGCTAGTGGCAGCCATCTTGAATGGTGCAGATATAGTTGTTGTTTGTGTGCTTTTTATGCTTACAAAGTTCTTGCTAAAGGGCTTGTAAGCATCCAATTAAAAAACATCTAAGAATTAAAAAAATTCATAGATTTGGCCAAAGTGGCATTCCACATCACAGGAAAAAATCCAAGGTTTCTTAGGCTACTTATAAAGAATTTAAATGCTTTAGCTTTAGGCAGAAGTGGCACAGAGGTGTACACCAGGGCAAGAATCTGGGAACTCAGAGTACAGAGCAGAACAATGCCTCTCAGCCTTGGTGACCTTTTGCAAACCATGGAACTTTCCACGTGCCAGGCTGCCCTCCCCAATAAGTGTGGAACCAACCCAATGATTTAGCTGTTAGGAATGCTGGGTAGAGTAATTAACTTGTTGCTGCAGGATGTTTTCAAAACGCAAAACCCTGTATACAATCAAGCAGTTGGAAAAACATCTTATGGACGGAATAAATGTATCTGGATGGCAGTTTTGTAAAGAACCAAATAAATAATTTAAAAACTCTTGTTCCTGTAAAACCATCATAATATACAACATCAGTGTTATTTTGGGACTGTATTTCACAACAGGGCAGCCAGAGCATGAAATGTTTCTATGGTAGCAAGCAAAAGGGTTTAAAGCCAGCTATGGACTTAGAAGGTTTGAAGATTCTTACTATTTCCAAATAGAAACTTATTAGACATTTTTTGCACTTTGGCTTATATTTTTATGGTATTTCCTCTTCTGAGGCTTATTGCTAATCTAGCAAAAAGATTTGTTTAATTTCTTTTTTCTTTTTTTTTTTGAGATGGAGTCTCGCTCTGCCACCCAGGCTGGGGTGCAGTGGTGCAATCTTGGCTCATTGCAACCTCCACCTCCCAGGTTCAAGCGATTTTCCCAACTCAGCCTCCTGAGTAGCTGGGATTACAGGTGCCCACCACCATGCCCAGCTAATTTTTGTATTTTTAATAGAGATGGAGTTTCACCACGTTGGCCAGTCTGGTCTCGAACTCGTGCCATCAGGTGATCTGCCTGCCCCAGCCTCCCAAAGTGCTAGGATTACAGGTGTGAGCCACCATGCCTGGCCTACTTTCTTAATTGATAAGAATAGATAATAAGACAGGTTTTCTAGTTAAAGATGCAAACAAACATATTAGAACACAGTGGTATAAGGCAGACTGTTCCTTAGAAGGAATCAGTTACTCAGATTGACAAAAACAAACCAATCAAAGCCTTAAAAGTATGAATTTTGGCCGGGCGCGGTGGCTCACGCCTGTAATCCCAACACTTTGGGAGGCTGAGGTGGGTGGATCACAAGGTCAGGAGTTCGAGACCAGCCTGACCAACATGGTGAAACCCCATTTCTACTAAAAATACAAAAATTAGCTGGACATGGTGGCACACGCCTATAATCCCAGCTCCTCAGGAGGCTGAGGCAAGAGAATCGCTTGAACCTGGGAGGCAGAGGTTGCAGTGAGCCGAGATGGCACCACTGCACTCCAGCCTGGTGGACAGAGCGAGACTCTGCCTTAAAAAAAAAAAAAGTATGGATTTTATGGTGTGATTCTAAAAATAAAAATTACAACTCTTTATTTTCAGGCTTCCTGTGGTCAGTTGGTTTACTTACTATAATAGAATTAAATGTTGATTGCATTGAGGTATCTGCACAGAAGAAAAAAATTGATTTCAAATACCAAGATAGAGCATAGGGATAGTAATAGCATTTAATTCACAGAGTTATTGTACAGAAGTAGATGAGACAGTGTTTCTTAACCCAGTGCATGGCACTTGGGAAGAAAGCCTACAGCCATGAGAGGAAAGCAGAAAAGGGTGAAAATGGATGGCAAAGGTATACTTAGATGATGTCAGGTGATTAAAAGCCCTACTTCCAGAAGAAGAAGTCTTATCTCTGTTTTACAAGTGAAGAAATTAAGGCTCACAGAGGTTAAGTAGTTTGTTGGGGATTACGTACTATACCTAGGAGATTACATTATAGTTCCTAGGTGGAACTGATGTTAGAACCCAGGTCTGTTTAACTCCAAGGCTTGTGCCTGAACCACTGCACAACATGCCCAGCACTTCCCACCAGTCAACTGCACTGTTTTCCAGAGTTTATCTGTCCATAATTAGAATTTTTAGCTTCTGAACAATTATGTATGTACTGTCTGTTTGTTTGAGACAGAGTATTGCTCAATCAACCAAGCTGGAGGGCAGTGGCACAATCTCGGCTCACTGCAACCTCCACGTCCTGGGTTCAAGTGGTTCTCCTGCCTCAGCCTCCTGAGTAGCTGACACTACAGGCATGTGCCACCATGCCTGGCTAATTTTTTATATTTTTGGTAGGGATAGGGTTTCACCATGTTGGCCAGGCTGACCTTGAACTCCTGACCTCAGGTCATCCACCCACGTCAGCCTCCCAAAGTGCTGGGATTATTGGCCTGAGCCACTGTGCCCAGCCTGTATGTACTTTTAAACATAATATCATATGTACTTTCAAGTTATTATAATCTTCATAATTATAATTTTTAATGGTAGCATAGTTTTCCATCAAGCCAATGTGTGTGCATTGACTTACCTACTAAGAGGCAGTATATTGTAGTGGTTAAGGGTAAAGATTTTGATGCCTGGGCTACATCTCGTGGGAGACTCACTCATAAGTTAGGTTAATAAGCATCAAGTCCTTAAACAATATCTGACTGTATTGCTGCTCCCTTTATCCTTCTGTATTAGTCTGTTCTCATGCTTCTGATAAAGACTACCCAAATGAGTAATTTATAAAGGAAAGAGGTTTAATGGACTCACAGTTCCACATGGCTGGGGAGACCTCACAATCATGGTGGAAGGCAAATGAGGAGCAATGGCACATCTTACATAGTGGCGGGCAAGAGAGCGTGCACAGGGGAACGCCCCTTATAAAACCATCGGATCTCATGAGACTTATTCACTGTCATGAGAACAGTACGGGAAAGACCTGCCACCATGTTCAGTTACCTCCCATTGGGTCCCTCCCATGACACATGGGAATTATGGGAGCTACAATTTAAGATGAGATTTGGGTGGGGACATAGTCAAACCGTATCACCTTCTATTTTATATATTTTGGCAATTTCTAGTTTTTCTGATATATAAATAATGATTGCATTGAATGTCCTCATGCATAAAAATTTCCTCCTAATTTTGGATGATTTTTTAAAAAGAATAAATTTCCAGGAGAGATGATATTGGATCAAAATTTATGATAATTTCTATGGCTCTTGAAATTATTTTCAGTTTTTTCCCCAAAGGATTATGCCAATTTTCTTTTACAAGCAATGCATAAGCACATCCATTTCAGCAAAATTTTGTCAGCATTATTGTTTGCATTTTTAAAGAATGTGCTTTAAAAATGAACCACTAACTGGGTTTGTATGTAAGGCAGTTTTACAAAATTAGATGAAAACAGTATGGGGGAATGGTTTCCAGACACAGAAATGTGGTGCAAGCAGGCCACCTCTGCCTGGAGTTTTGTATATAGGTTAGCTTCTCTTGAGTATTTTTTTTTTCCATAGCTTTTTCCTTTTTTTTCCATTTCAACACATCAGTCCTTTATGTATATGTGCATATGTGGTCTAGGGACCACTTGCCTTGGAATCATTTGGGAAGATTGTTTTAAATTTCCTGGGCTAGACCCAGACTCCTGAGCCAGAATCCTGGAGAGAGGATTGCACTGGGAATTTGTACTTTTAGCAAGTATCCCCAGTGATTCTTTCATAATTCATAGGTTTATTAAAACTTGAGAAGCATTGGCCTAAAAGCTTCAAGGCATTCCTTGGTGGTTGTAGTTTGATTTGGTTGTTTTCTACAGCAAAAGAAGAATATGAGCTACTGGCAGCTCTGGCAGAGTAGGGTGACCAGTGAGGGTGGGGCTGCTGAAGGAAACAGGCACAGGGGTGTGGCCACTGGGGTGCGTCTGGAGGGGTGTGTTTGGGTTATATGGCATTTGGGCACTTAACGTTGGAGCTCACTTTATTCCAGAAATCCATTTTATTCCAATGACTCATAAGCCTTTTCATCACATGTGATAACATTTTCTGCTTTGAAATGTCTGTATTATCCTTAAATACACCCCCTTCCCCTCATGGCATATCTTCATGGAGTCAGTCTAATGGTTATATCAGAAGGGGCAGTCATTTGTCCCTGTTTAGAGTAAATATCATTTGGTGTCTAGTGACACCTCACTGTTCAATAAGAGTACAACTCACTTTTCAATAACAGTACGTTGGAATGTATCATCAGCAATATTGTTTCCTACTGTATTGTACAGCAGAAACTTAAAATCTGGCTTCAGACATGCTGTAACCTAAGAACAGTTTGTCTTTGAGAAAGTTCATTTGCAATTCAATTGGAACTGCGGCTGGTTTCACAGGGAAACAGTGTTATTGTAATTGATGCCAAAGTTCCCAGAGTAGTAGTCCACAGATGCCTCCTTAGCAAACACAACTACACTCAGAACTGAGTGTCGGTCCTTGTTCACATGCTGAGCCCCCAAGCTCAGTAATGACATAGAGAACACAGGGGACGCTGAGGTACATAGCCTCCACGGTTGTTTTAGGAAAATAGCAGGAAAGTAGGCTGCTAACTGCCTCAGCAACCAGTATAGATAATTTGTTAGTTGAGCTGTTCTGTATAAATTAGGACTACCTGCATATAAAATTGGGGATACATAACATGAAGTATAATCTAATAAAAAAGCAAAAATAGGCCGGGCGTGGTGGTTCATGTCTTGTACTCCCAGCTGTTTGGGAGGCCAAGGTGGGTGGATCACTTGAGATCAGGAGTTTGAGACCAGCCTGGCCAACATGACGAAACCCCGTCTCTACTAAAAATAGAAAAATTAGCCGGGCATGGTGGCAGGCACCTGTAATCCCAGTTACTCGGGAGGCTGAGGCAGGATAATTCTTTGAACCAGGAGGTGGAGGTTGCAGTGAGCCAAGATCATGCCACTGCACTCCAGCTTGGGTGACACAGCAAGACTGTGTCTCAAAAAAAAAAAAAAAAAAAAAAAGCAAAAATACACCGTAAACTTGAGATGCTGATTCCATTGATTAAATACGAAGGGACTTTAAGGACTTTCCTATATCACTGCTTAAATAAAATAAACTCATTGGTAAGTGAAGTCTGTTGACTCACTTGTATTTCTTTCAAAATAGTTTATGGCTGGGCACACTGGCTCACACTGCCATCCCAACACTTTGGGAGGCCAAGGGGAGGATCACTTGAGTCCAGGAATTCAAGATCAACCTGGACAACATAGTGAGACCCTGCCTCTACACAAAATAAAAAAAGATTAGATAGGCATAGTGGCGTGCACCTATAGTCCCAGCTACTTAGCAGGTTGAGGCAGGCGGATTGCTTGAGCCCTGGAGGTTGAGGCTGCAATGAATTATGATTGCACCACTGCACTCCAGCCTAGGTAGCAGAGCAAGACCCTGTCTTAAAAGAAAAAAAAATTTATAATTCTGACTTTTTGCTAGTTAATATAGGAATTTATGAAAATTAACCCAAATTCTCTTTTTTTTGTCCCCCCCCATCAGAGGCCTTGTAGAGAAAAAAGAAATGGAATTGGTTTTAAGTGGATTAGAAGCAGCACAGAGGTACTTGGCGCAGAAGTACTGTATCCTTGTGCTGGGCTTGGCAATGCCGGATAAGCATCACATGTGCTGTGGAAAGTAAGCACACATTTTACACTTCATTAGATCATCACTCCATCATAGACCCACACCCTTAAGATGCTTACATTTGGCTTTGGTTAACTTGAGAAAATGTTCCTTCTTCTGTTGTCCAGAGTAATTGGGCTCAGGTGAGAATCTGTCCCAAACCCTTGTAATGTCTCCTTTGAGAGAGCGAAGTGCATGTGGAAGAAATCTCAGAATCTCAGCTGATATTTTAAAACTTTCCACTGCTTGAGATTGAGTGACATAGTCTCTCAGTGAAATCTTGCTCTCAACCATGAAGGACTCTTGCTGCCAGACTTGGCTCCCTTGGGCAGGAGGCCTTGTGGGGCTGGTAGTGCAGGGGGATTAGGTGTCTCCCTACCCTTTCACTGCTTATTTTGCAGCAGCAACAATTGTGAGTAGGAGCTGCTGAGATGTGGATTCTAAGATGGTTCTTTGTGGGAAGATCATTTTTACCTTAGGATGACTATTTTTACACCACTGTAATTAAAACTTAAAGAGGAGTCTCATCACAGGTTTGGGATCACAAGGTCGAAAACATCAACCCTTAACTCAGAATCTCCTTCTCTGAGTTTCACAACAGGCCCCAGATCTACACCGTGTCAGCCAGAACAGCTTTTTTCCCCTATAGGAAAATAATTTTCCCCTCCATAGGAAAAGAACCTAGTATATGATGTGTCTCTTTCTACATTCTCCACATTTTCAAAGACCAGCTTTGTTAATGAGCATACTTACACAGTTGTTGGTATATACATTTTTGTATTCTGTATTTCTGGGGTACTTTCTCTTATTATTCTGATTATATGATTTCACTTACCACTTTGAATAGGATTCTGTTATGTAACATACATATTTGCTTAACCATTCTTTTTGTGTACATTTGCATAATTTTAGTTTTTGTGTGTTATAATATTTCTGCATTGAATAGCTTTATACAAACTGCTTTGTTCATTTGGACTATTTCCTTGTGGCTTATTTTCCACAGTATATTTACCTAGAAGGCCACAAACAGTTTTGTAGCTCTTGATACATACTGCTAGATTGTTCTCTAAGAAGGTTAAGACATTTTGTATTACCATCAGCAGTACGTATATCTGGTTGCGTTGGATTTTATTACTTTAATATTTTTGACAGTTTAAAGGTGTATAAAAAGCTTAAAGATGTTTTATTTGACTGAGTATCTTTTTTTTTTTTTTTTGATGAAGTCTCACTCTTGTCCCCCTAGTCTGTAGTGTAATGGCACAATCTTGGCTCACTGCAACCTCTGCCTCCTAGGTAGTAATTCTCCTGCCTCAGCCTCCTGAGTAGCTGGGATTACAGGTGCTGCTACCACGCCCGGCTAATTTTTGTATTTTTAGTAGAGATAGGGTTTCACCATGTTGGTCAGGCTGGTCTCGATCTCCTGACCTCAGGTGATCCTCCCACCTCGACCTTCCAGAGTGCTGGGATTGCAGGCGTGAGCCACTGAGCCCGGCCTTGACTGAGTATCTTTTATGATGGTGGAGGCTGTGGTCTTTCTGTGTAAAATAATTTGCTGCCTGCCTGTTCATTTAGTTTTAACCATCTATTAAATGGAAACTGGGAATTTGTATAATTTTTTTTTTTTTTTTTTTTTTTTGAGACAAGTCTTGCTCTGTGGCCCAGGCTAGATTGTAGTGACAAGGTGTGATCTCAGCTCACTGCAACCTCTGCATTCCGGGCTCAGGTGATCCTCTCACCTCAGCCTCCTGAGTAGCTGGGGCTACAGATGTGCACCACCATGCCCAGCTAATTTTTCTATTTTTAGTAGAGATAGGGTTTCTCCATGTTGCCCAGGCTGGTTTCTAACTTCTGGGCTCAAGTGATCTGCCTGCCTTGGCCTCTTTGGGATTACAGGCATGAGCCACTGTGCTCAGCTGAAAATTTGTATAATTTTAAAATATGTATCCCATAGCAAGGATTGGTCATTTGTATTTCTAGTTTGTTGCTTTCTTTTTGGTATTTATGTTTTTACATATTAGGAAAATGTTTCACATTTTTATTTATTTGAATACGTCTACCTTGTTTCTGATGCTACTCGAGAGTCATGCAAGTTCTTGCCATTCCTGGGTTAAACTATTTACCTTTCTTTCCTAGTTCTAAACAATAAGGTTTTAAAAAAATGTTGATCTTTGATCTATTTGAGATTTGTTACAACATATAAGAAGAGTTATGAATCTTAAGATATTTTGTCTTTACTAATATCCAACTTTCCAATACTTAGTGATTTTAGTCTCCACACTCTGTAACATTTCTTATTTATTAGGTGTTGAATTTTTCTAATATTTTAACCCAATTTGGGGAATTCCTATTGAGTTTTATTGATCAGTTTTTCTGTTATAAATACAGGACTATATGGCTGATATTTTTCTTTGATTTATTCAACTCACGTTGAGTGCCTGTTATGTGGTAGTTATGGTGCCAAGTGCTAGGGTGCAAAGAACATACAGTCTTCAAGGAGTGTGTACAGTCTAATGGAGGAGTCATCAAGTAAGGAAAGCAAAGATTGCTGGTCAGTACAATAGCGGCATAGACAGATAATGGGCACCCGTAGCAGGAGAGTGAGGGGTGTCCCTTAGGGACACTTGACTGAGGAGCATAGGTGGGAGCCAGGCAGGAAAGGGTGTGACTTAACATCTGATAACAAGAGTCACTCCTCTTACCTTTGGCAATGTTCTATCTGGCCATTTTGCCTATTTGAGATAAGTTGCTAGTTTGTCCTAAAGATAAATTCCTTAAACTAGAATTCCTGAGTCAAATAGTATGCACATTTAAATGTGATATATTATGTGTAAATTTTAAGAGTCTTATTCAGGCCGGGCGCGGTGGCTCAAGCCTGTAATCCCAGCACTTTGGGAGGCCGAGACGGGCGGATCACAAGGTCAGGAGATCGAGACCATCCTGGCTAACCTGGTGAAACCCCGTCTCTACTAAAAAATACAAAAAACTAGCCGGGCGAGGTGGCGGGCACCTGTAGTCCCAGCTACTCGGGAGGCTGAGGCAGGAGAATGGCATGAACCCGGGAGGCAGAGCTTGCAGTGAGCTGAGATCCGGCCACTGCACTCCAGCCTGGGTGACAGAGCGAGACTCCGTCTCAAAAAAAAAAAAAAAAAAAAAAAAGAGTCTTATTCAAGAACACATGTTGCTGTGACAAAAGATAAATGGAAAAACATAATTTGAGGTCCCTTTTTTGGGTTAGTCTTGGTAATTGAAAATTCTTCATGAAATTCTGTGTTTATATTTTGCTGTTCTTACCCTATTTTTCCAGTTTATTTTTTTCTTATTACCCAACTCTTACTAAAAGTTTTGCTTAATCTGTGTTTTAATGTCTTTCATTTGAGCATCAATTTCTACCCTCCCATATAATGAACTTTACAAATATGAGATGTGGTTGCAATTTTTTTTTCTTTTTTCACTTTTTCTGAATGTTCCAATCTTTTCTGACTACCTACAAAAAGAAAAGGCAGGACAGAGACTGTATGTGGCTAATTCAGTCTTTTTTTTTTCTTTTTTTTTTGAGATGGAGTCTCGCTCCGTCGCCCAGGCTGAAGTACAGTGGCACTATCTCTGCTCCCTGCAACCTCTGCCTCCTGGGTTCAAGCAATTCTCCTGACAGCCTCCCGAGTAGCTGGGATTACAGGCACACACCAACAAGCCTGGCTAATTTTTGTATTTTTAGTAGAGATGGGGTTTCATCATATTGGTCAGGCTGGTCTCAAACTCCTGACTGCAGGTGATCCACCCACCTCAGCCTCCCAAAGTGCTGGGATTACAGGCATGAGCCACGGCACTTGGCCCTAATTCATTCTTTAGGTGGGTAGATTTTTTTCCAAGTTACCTAGGGTCTGAGGGGCACAGGCATATATTCTCTAATTTCTTCTTGGCTATTCATAAGGAGCTATATTAGTTTATAAAGTTAAAAAACAGATATACATATGAAGTTTCTCTCGGCTGGAACTTGATATTTATTGATGTTTGCATCGATATACTTTCAGTTCAGGCTCAGTTTCTTTGTGTTTTGGTTGTTTCTTGGCATTGTTGGCCATTTCTCTTCTTTCACACCCCTGTTTCTATAGTGGTAGATGTCCTCGATCCACTTCTGAGGCCCACCATCTGTGTGATTCGATTCACCATGTGTGTGTGATTTTTCATGACTTGGGAATACACTCTTAATGTGTATCCCTGACAACACCCATTCTTTATTCTACTACATCCGTTCTGCAGCTTTCAAGTTTTTGCTGCTGCAGTTCTTTTATGGAGTTGACAAATTTGGTTCTGCTTTCCAGCATGGGACCATGAAAATGTGGCACTCAGGGAGTGTAACTGAGCAGTGGCCCCAGCTGTTGCGCCTGAATCCACCACCAGGTCTGCACTGAGGCCACATGTTTTAGCCTGTTTGGGTTGCTATAGCCGAGTACCATAGACAGGGTGGCTTATAAACAACAGAAATATCTTTCTCACAGTTCTACAGGCTGCAGGTCTAAGATCAGTATACCAGCATGGTCAGGCTCTGGTGAGGGCCCTCTTCCAGGTTGCAGACTGCCAGCTTCTCATTGTATCCTCAACATGGCAGAAAGAAGATGACAGAGCTTTCTGGGGTCTCTTTTCTAGAACACTAATTCATATATAAGGGCTCTATGTTCATGACTTAATTACTTCCAAAGGCCTCATATCCTGATACCATCACACTGGGAGTTAGGATTTCAACATACGAATTTTGGGAGAACACAAACATTCAGCCCATTGCACCATGCTTCCCATAGGCTGCCTCCTGCCAGTGTCTGAGTGCAGCAGGCCCATTCCTCATGGTTGCGGGACTCCTCTGACTGACAGCTTCAGCTCGAGGACTCCCCTTTGGCCTGGTCAAAACTTTCCTAGAGCTTTGCCACTGTCTGAGTTCCTTCCTACCCAGACCCTCCTGCCTTTCCTCTCTCACAGGGTCAGACATGCATTGAGGTGTGACGGCGCTCCTTGCC